CCCTTGCATTCCTGGTCTCCTGGAGGATCCCAGCCAACGTCCCACCTCCATTAAATGGCAGTCCCTATTTCCAGGTCCAGCCACTGTCTCTTTCCCAGGCTTTGGCCCCAATATGACACAGATTCTAACTTGGTCTGCTAAAACTGAAATAGTATTTTTCTCAAAACCTGTTACTTTTCTTACATTACATAGGTTTTTTGAAATACGAATTCCAGCCACTGAAAGTCAGATTTTAAAAATCATTATCATCTTCCTGTCCTATTCTCAGATCCTAGTTTTCCACAACTAAGTGACCACCAACTCCTTCAAGTTCTACCTATTATGTATTCTTGAATAAGTCCCTTCCAGACTAATCCTGGCCTGACTCGATTCACCTTGTCTTTAACTACTAAAATACCTCTCACTGGTCTTCCTATCTATAATCTTTCTCCCTCAATCTGTCATCCAGAGCACAGGTCATCTAAACTATCTACAACAGGAGGCTTACTACAACTCTACCACTAAACCGTGTTTCTTCACATATTAGTTTAAGTGCACACTGCTTGGTACACCATGAAATTCCCTCTGGACATCTCTCTCCATCTTGTGTGGTAACAGAATTAAGCTGCACAGAGTTCCTTAAACAAGCATGGATCTTCATGCTTCTGCATCGAAAATCTCTCAGTGAAGAGTTTATTTTCTGCTTCTCTCTGTTACTACATCTGCTACACTATATTTAAATTACCCCCACCTAATCTTTCAAACTGGGCTGTGGAGAACGGGTCACATTTGGTAACCAAAGAGCCCAGCATTTGTTCCTTCAGGCAATGGATATTTATCAAATGCCTGCTACCCTACGATTTTGTGAGAAACCAAGTCTCAGGGCTCATGGGTCTTGCATTCTAACAGGGGAACTCCAGAAGACAGCCTAAACAGCAGGTAATCATGATCTAAAGTTTATAGTAAAAATTTTTACAATCTGGGTAAATGAAAGTGTGTCCTTGAACCACTGTCTGAGCACAGCATCTGGAACATTGGCGTGGCTCATTTTATGCTTCAACAACAAACATAGCGGTGACTAAGGCAATGTAAGCAAGAGAGTGGAGAGTGAGCTGCCCTGACTGTGGTCTTGAGTAAATCATGATTCTCTTTACTAGCAAAAAACATTTTCCCATACACACCGAAAACATTTCCCATATAACCCACATTTATATAATCCTTGGGACAGAAAGGCAGAATAACATCCCATTTCATTTTGTATTTTAAAAAGCTGTGGAAGATCAAGGCTTTACAAAGATATAACTGATCTCTGTCTACCTTGCAAACAACATCTCTCACCATCTCCTGGTGCTTCACCCATCCCCAAGTGTGTGGATTTCTTGATGCCAACACACTGTGCAACGTCTGTGTCTTTGTGCTGCGGATTCCTTGGCGTGCAGCGTACCACCTCCCTCCTTCTCTTGGAGCATGTGGTCTTCTTCAGCCCTCTGAGAGGGGCAGGTTGTGCTTCTTATTTCCCAGCCCCATCACACTTTGCAAACACTCACCCACCAGATCGTAGGTGCCAGGAGGAGGGACCATGTTGCAGCCTCAGCTCTAAGCATAATTAGGGTCAGAGACAAGTATCTGTTACTACATCAGTAGGGCACTTCGAACTAAAAACTCACAGAGAAATGAACACAATTATTAGAAAACATAAGAAACTTCCTCACAAAAGGCACAACTGGCTACTTTTGATCCCTGGTGCATATGTGCAGAACATTCCAGCATTTACATCTGAATTTAAGCCTGCAGTCAAATTTGCACTACATCAGAACTTTGGTTCAAGCTGATGTTTAGCTGCCCAGCTTGCCATCTGGCCAGACTCATCTTAATCTGACTGTTTGAGGTTAGCTTTAACAGCTGTTGCAGCAATGTTATGCCAATCATTTGCCTTTTAGAGAAGAATTTAACTGACTCAGAGGAAAGCAACAACTTTCAGAAGAATTATTTTCCAATCACTTAGCAGAAAACAATGGCTGTCTATTTGCAGCTCTCTGAAATGATGTATATTCTTCAGAATAAACTAAAAACAAGGAGTGGAACATGGGAACTATATTTCTCAGTTTTTAATTTGTCCTCAATACAGTCTTTGGAAATACATTTCTCTAAATGTTAAAAACCTCAAGATGTAGCATTTAGCTTTCAGCAAGTATTCACCAAGCATTGCAGCTTGTGACAAGTTCTGAGTTGGAATTAAATCCTGGTGTTTTATTACGTGCTTTGATGCTGTACTTCTTGTTACCCTGTGACCCTTCAGACAGCAGCTGGACACTGTACTCACACATGTTAGGGGAAGATTCTTACAGAAGAGCACAGCAGAAAAAAATATCCTGGGCTTTTAAACTTCAAAAGGTTAAGCCCTAAAAGATATGGGGCATAACATTTTTTTGAAACCAAATAAGCATTTTTTTCTACTCCTAGATTAGACACAGAATCTATGCCAAGAGAAAAATGAAAGGAGAAGACAAAAAAAGGAGGAAAGGAAGAGAGGCCAAAGACAAGAAGAAGAGGATAAGGGGGTGGAGAGGAGAGGAGAGGAGAGGAGAGGAGAGGAGAGGAGAGGAGAGGAGAGGAGAGGAGAGGAGAGGAGAGGAGAGGAGAAGAGGGGCGATCCCAGAGGAGAGCTGAAGAATGAGCTGCTGTGGGACCCCACAGATGGACTTTCCCAGGTCTGATCTGAGGAAGGAAGTGGGACCTGTATGTACGTTTGGGGATGTAGGATTAAATGAGAAACCTTTCCATCAACTCCTGCAAGTGCTGATAAAAAGAACAAGACACCAGAGATCCCCTGTGTGCATCTTTTTATCAGTTCAGATCCAACAAGGAAAACAGAAACAACTGAATATTGAAAACTGAGGGATTTAATTTTAACAGGGAAGTGGCTACATCTGCAGTAGAGAAAGGGCTAATGGCACAATCAAGAGATTAACAGCTGCAGGAAGCCCCGACTGTCCCAGGCTAGAAAGACCATGGCAAGGCATGATATTATTGAAGCCTAGGGCTCAAGGTCACCAAGAGAAGCTGAAACCGCAGCAGGCCTCTTCAGAGGGATAGACAAGAGATACATGGCAAAGGATGATGCAAAGAAAGAGGGGAAACTCCTGTGAACCCACAAATGCCTCACAAGCACCAGCCCGAACTTGGAACCTAGCTGACATGGACCAGCCACTCTGCAGCACAGCAGGGCAGACTGAGGCTTGGGTCCACTGTGCAGGCACAGAATGTCTGTGGGATTGTCTGGGACAGTTGACCTGAGACAGATCCTCAAGGTCTCCACGCTACAGCATGGCCCCAAGCGGAGCAGACGGGACGAAGGAAGCCTGAAGATACGAAGCAAACTTGGCTCCAAATAAGGAAGCCACGCAAGGGATCTGCCAAGAAACAAGGTAACCTCCAGATGGCTTTTGGACACCTCGGTGAATTCATCTGTTTGCGCCACAGCCTGAGGAAGGTGAGACGCTGAGCCCACCACACGGGGCTGACCACGTGCAGCTCTCCCCCCTCCACTCCCTGTGGCACTTGGAGGAAGCTAAGGAGGGGCGAGGCGGGCACCTGGCAGAGCAGGGGCAGAATGGACCTGTGCTCGTAGATACGCGAAAGAAAGCGCCCGGCCAACGGACAGACAGGTCCCTCTGGCTGCTGGGGGAGGGTGGGCACCAAATACAGAGGTCTGGGATGTGGGGAGAAGCAGGCCATGTTAAAGGATGCGCGGGGGCTGGCGCTGTGCACAGAGAAATCCACACTGGCCGGGCGGGTAGGGCTGGGACAGGAGGCCACGGGGCAGATTTGCTTTCAGGCTTCGGGAATGAATGGATTTAGCAAGCAGATGGGGGAGTGCCACACGACACTAGGGTGTGGCAAACCGGCTGCAGAAGGTTGAGTGGGTGGTGATCTCCTACTGGGGAAATCGCAGGACACATGCGCAGAAGAGTTCTCAAAGCCTCGTGTGGACTTCTCGCGAGAACTCACGCAGTTTGGGCTAGGAGGACCCGACCTGACCTGACCTGACCCGGAGAGTGGGTGGTACCTGCGGCAGCTCTGTGTTCCTGTGTTCTTTCACAGTAGTCCACCCTAGTACGACGTGCTTTTCCTACTTGTTCTTAGTTTGCATTTGCAGAGCCTGTTTCTTTTCCTACCCTTTATAAATGTAAAACCTTGCTACTTTTTGTGCTTATCGTAACCAATTCTTTGCTTAGGACAGAACCTAGAAACCACTTGTAGAAAGAAACACCAGCACCTCAAAACCCAGTAGAAGGAGTTCTTTCCTATTCTTGCGGTCATCCCAATACAGTGACTTTCAAGAAAAGCCTGCACACTCCTCATTCATCAACAGTGCTTTAAGGTCTTTCAGAAACAAAGCCAGGGGTTGGGGTGGAGGGATATAGCTCAGCTTGCATAAGCAACTCCCTAGCAAGCTCAAGGTCCTGAGTTCGATTTCTGCTACCAAAGAAGAAAGAAACATGGCTGATTTATAACTTCCCCTCCTTGGATTAGTAAATGAGGCAGTGCCAGTGGCAGGATGGGTGTGTCCAGGTTTTAGCACTCAAGAGCAGTACCAACAACTCATAAGAAATGAGTTCCTTCAAATGCATCCTTTTGGAGACTCTCTGAGCCCATTTCTAGAATTTAGTCTTCAGCTAAAGACTTAGATGTCATAGTACTCATTTACAGAATAAACAATCCATAGGAAAATATATTTAAACTATCTAAAATGCCAAACTTCTATGGTGAAACAAATTTCAGATTACCACATAATACTTCGTTCCTGAAATTACTGAAGTTTTCTGTTCTTTAAGCAGAGAAACAAGACTTGATTTACAAATAGCCTCAAATATCACTATTTAGAAACTATTTTAATTTGCCATTTATAATCTAATAATTTAAGGAGCAAAACTAACTTCTCTTTAACGTTTAAAATCAGAAAATGATTATGAGAAACAATAATAAACCCTTGAACTGTTTTTTTTTTTCTTTTTTACCTCGTTAGAAATGTCTGTTCCAGAGACATCTAGTGATACCAAAGAAAAGAGGTTTACAATAAATTCAATTCCTTGGTCAGTCACATGTTCACAGTTTCGTAAACTCAAGTAGTTTAAATTCAGGCAGCTGAAAGAAAGCAATATGAAGAATTAATTTCAGCTTTCAACCATATCATTATTATGAACTTCTTTGTATAAAAACTACCTAGGAGAAAATGAATGATATTAAAGCAAGGATATTTTTCTTTTTTTCAGCATAAGTGTAAGCCAAAATGTAGAAAATAATTTGATTTTTTGAAGTTGGATAGAAGATAGATTATTAAATAAGGCTCTCTTTCTTTGTTTTAATTTCACGCTGCAGCTTTTAACATGCTACATGCCCACACATTACAGGCATACATGAGGCTATCCTGTGTGTGCCACAGGATATCCTGTGAGGTGGAGTTCCCCACGTGTGCCTTACACATTTGCTGCAGGGATGGAGTTTGACCCTTAATGAACTCAAGGCCTCTGACAAGTAAAATGGTTCACTAAACCAACCAGCCTGAACACCTCTTAGGAAATGCTAGCGTTAAGGTTACCAGAAACAATATACTTGACAAGTTAAAGAAGTCATCCATTTCCAGATACTCGTTGCTTCATGAGTGACCCCATCTTAACTTTTAGGTGACTGTAATAAGACAATGACTCAGACATAGTCAAAAGAGTGGTTCAGTTGATGACTTCAGTGTCTTTGGTTTGATTTCATTGAGGATTGGACAAGCTTCTGGGTATCCCCAGTGTTCTCCAGATAGGTTGGAGTCTTTGTTTTGAGGTCCAACTCTAATCTCTCCTACTGGCAAATATACAAGTACTAATGCTGCCTGGTAGCAAATTGCTTTGGCATACCGCTCTGAGAGTCTCAAAACAGAGATGTCGCTCAGGTGCACACAGTTACTTAAATTGAGCTCTCTTATCCTGATACTCGAAGGACCATCAAGAAAGTGCTTCAGTCCTGTATCACCAATCCTGGAGAAAAGAGAAAAGCTTCACATGTAATGTCATATATAGATATATAGGATGCCATTAAAACGATAGTCTCTATACCCAATATATTTGCAAAACAGCAAATGGTATCTACATTCAGGAATTATGTGGACATTTAAAACCAAATCTGATCATGTAACTAGTGTAATGGAAAATATATAGGGTCTGGGGATTTAGCTCAGTGGCATAAGCGCCTGCCTTGCAAGCAGGCAGTCGTGAGTTCGATCCCTGGTACCGATAAAAACGAAAAAGACCAAACAGAAAAAAGAAAGAAAGAAAATATATAAATGATACCAATGGAAGAAGTATTAATAAAAATGTTATCTGTGTTTATTTGATTAAATAAGCATAATTCTCAGTAACACAAATGGCCTCTTCTTCTAGATTAAAATACTATTAAGTTAAGCATACTATTTCCTGCAGCGGAAAATGACCAAAATTTAGGACACAGAAACCAAGGCTGACAGCCAGACAGCTGCTAGGATCTTGGAGAAATTTCTGCTAAATACAAGGTCACTTTGGCCAGATTGAGGCCAAAAGGTGACCTACAGATCCTTTTCTGAACTAGGAAAATCTGGTGCTGGGAAAGATTTGGCTCAGCCTTCCTGCAAAGTCCTAACGAGAGTCAGCGTGAGGCACTGTGTTCATCCTGCTTTATAACCAGCTGGACATCCGCTCCCCCTGTGCCCTTCTTTCTTCCACTGGGATGTTTATTTCTAATTACATTTGGAGTGGGCTCAGCAATGTACAATGGTATAGTTCCTTAAGGGTCTAAGTAGTTGTGGCAGAGTCCTTTGAAGTGTCCTGTCAACTATACTTCTGGAAACAAAATTTCTGTTGAATTTAAAGTTAATTTGTATATCGTGAGTAAAATACAAGGTGGAAGTTCCATTTTATTTCACATATTTGTATAGACAGGATGAATGATACAGATACAAACACATGCACACACCTGTGGATATCTGTAATCTATCACTCCGTAACACACTGACATGAACTTTGTGTCTTGAGTGGCAAACATTTTTTTCTGCATCTCTCAGTTTCTGGACTAGGGAATTGGATGTGGAGCAGCTGGGTGGTCTTAGGGTCAGCGTGTTTCTGGAGCTTGCAATTAAGACAGGCTTGCTTTTTTCTGGGTTCTTATTGTATTGTTTTCCATCCTTTGACGTTCAGTCTATAAATTTCTTCTTGAATTAAATATTTCCAAGTTCTTACAAACTGTGCTGCTATAAACATGGGTGTACACACAGCACTGTGGTGTGATGCTTTTAATTCTTTCAGAAAGATAACGAGAAGGGGAGTAGCTGGGTTGAATGAGAACTCTGATTCTAATTTATTGAGGAGTCTCCACACTGATTTCCACAGCAGCTGCTCCAATCTGTACTCCCAACAGTGGAGAAGGGTTCCTTTTCCCCCACATACCCTCCAGCATTTGTTATTGGTTGATTTCTTGATGATGACCATTCTTTCTGAAATGACATGGAATCTCAGTGTTGTTTTAATTTGCATCTCTTAAATGACCAGTGATACTGAAATTTATTTTGTATAGTTACTTGCCATTTCTACTCATCTGAGAAGTATTTATTAACATTTTGGATGCCCATTTTTGGGTTGGGTCTTTAAATTTGGGGAGGGTGATTTTTTTTTTTTTGAGTTTTTGTGTACTCTAGATATTAGTTCTTTGTTCAAGGAACAGCTGGCAAAATTTTTTTCCACATTGCTGGTTGGCTCTTCATTCTGTTGGTGGTTTCTTTTTCTGTGCAAAGAGCTTTTTAATATGAGATCCCAGTTGTTAATTTTTTGTGCTATTTCCTGTGTGATCAGAGCTTTGTTCATAAAATCTTTGCCTACATCAGTGTCTTCAAAAGTTCTACCTATTCTGTCTTCTAGCAGAGTCAGTGTTTCTGTTTTTTAATATTTAGATGTTTATCCACTTTGATTTTAGTTTAGTGCATGGTGAAAGATATGGATCTAGTTTTAATCTTTGGCATGATAAAAGCCAGTTTTTCCAGTACCATTTATTAAACAGGCTATCTTTTTTCCAGTGAATGTATTTGACTCCTTTGTCAAAGATAAGGTGATTGAATATATTTGGAGTTGTTTTCCATCTTCTAATCTATTTCACTGATCCTCCCTCAGGTCTGTTTTTTTTTTTTTTTTTTTTTTTTGATACTGGGGATCTAACTCACGACCTCACGCTTGCCAGGTAGACGTTTATACTGCTGAACTAAATCCCTGGCCCCAGGTCTGTTTTATTTGCCATGGTACTTACTTTCCATGTACTTCCTTTTTTTTTTTTTTTTTTAAATCACATTAGCTTTGTAGTATAGTTTCAAGTCAGGAACTGTAATGCCCAAAAATGCCTTTGCTATTATAGGTCTCTTCTGATTCCAAATAAATTTTAGGATTGTTTTCTCTAACTCTGTGAGAGATGCTATTGGCATTTTGATCAGAATTGCATTAAATCTGTGTCTTAGTTACTTTTCTTGTTGCTGAAACAAAATACTCAATGCCCAAAGATAAGGGAGAAAAAACCTATTTATCTCACAGTTTGCAGAGGTTTCAGTGTCCCTTATTGGCTGCCTCTAAGACATAGTGGCTCATGGCAAAGGGGCAACAGATCATTGTTCACAAAACACAACAAAAGCAAGCAAGAGAGGATGGGACAAGCCTCTTCCTGTCCCTTACATTGTATTCAGGCTACCTGCCCTAGAGCGGGTCTAGCACTCAGACACCTTAATCCTAGTTAGAACTGTGCCAAACCAATCAGTGGACTGATTTATTAACCACACATACTTAATCCCAGCACCACGCCCTCTAGTTTCATCCACCTCTGAAAAGTACTCCCTATGACTGCATGAGGCTTTCAAGGGATATCTGGACACAAACCATAACAATCTGCGTAACAATTTTGGAAGGATGGACATTTTCACTATGTTGGTTATTCTTACCCAAGAACAAAGGGAATATGTTTCCATTTTTGATAGCTTCCTCAATTTCCTTTTTTTTTTTTTAGAGAACTGTAGTTTTTAATGTATCTGTAGTTTTCAGGTTAAAATGATTCATTAGATTGATTCCTAGGTATTTCTTTTTTTTGGATGCTATTGTGAAATATTTTTTCCCCTGGTTTCTTTCTCAATGAGTATGTTAGTTTTGTATAGGGGTGCTATTGATTTTTTAGTGTTAGCTTTGTACTCAACTATACTACTGAATTTGATTATTAAATCTAGGAGTCTTTTGGTAGAGTTTTTGGGGTCGTCTATGTAGAGTATCACATCATCTGCAAACAATAATTTAACTTTTTCCTTCTCTATCCTTACTCATTTCTTTCTCTCTTCTAATTGCTCTGGACAATGTTTCCAGAACTATATTAAATAAAAATCATGACAGTGGACATCCTTGTCTTGTTCCTGATTTTAGAATGAAAGCTTTCCCTTTTTATCCATTTTGTATGATGTTGCTACTAGTTTGTCATAGGTGATTTTTATCAGATTGAGGTAAAGACCATCTCTTCCAATTTTCTGTAGGTTATTTTTATCATGAATGGGTGTTGGACTTTGTCAAATGCTTTTTCTGCATCTATTGAGATGATCATATGGTTTTTGTCCTTGGGTCTGTTAATATGGTATATTACATTTATTGATTTGTGTATGTTGAACCATCTCTGCATCCCAGATGAATCCTACTTGGTCATGGTGTGTACTTCCCTTTGAAGATTTGCTGCATTCTGTTTTCCAGTATTTTATTGAGTATTTTTGCATCTATGTTCACTAGGGAGGTTGGCCGATAGTTCTCCTTTTTGGTTGGACCCTTTTCTTTGGTTTGGTATGAGGGTAATGCTTGCTTCCAGGAATGAATTTGGGAGTATTACTTCCTTTTCAATTTCATTAAAGAATTTGAGAAGTAGCAGCACTAGGTCTTCTCTAAATTTCTTGTAGAATTCAGATTTCTTGTGAATCCACCAGGGCCTGGACTTATCTTTGTGGGTAGGTTTTAATTACATCTTCAATTTCATTGATTGATATTGGTTTATGCAGGATGTTTATATCTTCTTGATTCAGCTTCGGTAATTCATATGTATCTAGGAAGCTGTCCATTTCTTCTGCATTTTCATTTTATTAGAATAGAGGTTCTCTTATTAGAGTACAGATATTAATCATCTGGATTTCTGCAGGATCTATTGTGGTTTCACCTTTTCCATTCCTAATTGCATGAATTTGAGTCTTTTCTTTCCTTTTTTTTTTTATAATGTTAGCTAAGGGTTTGCCAATGTTTAATCTTCCAAAGAACCAACTCGTCGATTCAATCTTTGTAATGTTTTCTTAGTCTCCATTGCATTTATTTCTGCTCTCATCTTTATAAGCTTTGGGCTTGATTTGCTCTTCTTTTTCTAGAAGCTTGAGGTTCAACATTAGGTTGTTTATCTGAGCTTGCAATTTTTCTTATATAGTAATTCACTGCTATAAATTTCCCTTATAGGACTGCTTTTATTGTGTCCATAAGTTCAGTGTATTGTATTGGAATTGTCATTTAGTTGTAGAAACTGTAATTTTTTCTTTAATTTTATCTGTGACCCATTGGTTGTTCAGAAGGGTGCTATTTCCATGTGTTTATGAAGTTCTTGTGGTTTCTTTTTCCATTAATTTCCAGTTTCACTGCACTATGATCTGGCAATGTGCATGGGATAATTTCAGTTTCTTTGCATTTACTTCAGTATGTTCTAAGCTGTATATTTTGGAGAATGTCCAAAATGTGCATCTGAGAAGAATGTGCATTCTGATGATCATCTATTTGTGATAGTGGGGTACTGAAGTCCCCCATTACAATTGTATTAGTGCTTACTTGACTTTTCATGTCCAGTAACATTTATTTTACATATTGAGGCACACTTGGATAAGTCAGAAAGGCTCACGTCCACGGTCATGAACATGATTATTGACCAGGGGCTTCAGTTCTTCACTGGCCATAGGCTGCAGGCTTCATTTCTTAGTTCAGGTTTTTCCCATTCCGAATCCTTGTGTCTCCCCTAACTGCCTCTCCACGCACTGCTACTGTAATCGCAGAGATGTGGGCTAACAGTTTGTAGCTTAATTTATAACTCTGACTTGTCATGTTTTCCCAAATATTAGCCACCTTCATTGTGGATGAAATACTATTTTGTTTTCATCTGGCCCTATAAAAGTATAAGAAATCTACTTAGACAAGAGGCTGAGATATCCAGTGAGGAAGTGGTTTTAGCAGGAATCTGATCCTTGCCTACTTGAGAATGCTAAGATAGTAGCCCAACACGACTGACCCGATGAAAAGTTTCAGTAAGAATTTTCCATCTGCTCATTTGTCAAAAACCCACACAGAGAAGACAGCTGCACCCAAGTAGAAACCCCACAGTTACACAGGTTCCCAAAAATGAGTCAGAAAGTCCATTTGAGAAAAACTTGTTAACTGAACTATCTGGGAACCCTCACTAAGAAAAGTAGCCCATGAGCCCCCTTAACAATGAGGGTCTGCAGGAGACCCCTTAACAGGAGTCTGCAGGTCCTCATCCTGAGCTTTTCCTGGGCCTCCCCGCTCCCAGCCCCTCTTTCACACTACCACAGGCAAAGGCTGGGACGTGTCAAGAGGGTTGGGTTCCCCTCCTTGTACCACAGAACCCTGCACTTACCTCTACCGACTTTCCTATTTAACCCAGTAGCCATGAGCTCCTTCACGGACCAGCGCCTCCCTGGTATCTAGCATTTCTTGAATACGTGACTAAGTGGCTTTTTACCTTACGCAGTTTGCCAAATTCAACACAGTCAGTTGCTTCAAAGGCGATAGTGACTTGAGGCTATCATCTGTTATTCCCTTGCAGTCGGCCATGTAAATGTGATTGATATTTGGATACTTTTTGTCTATAAATTTGAAAGATGCATCAGTGATTCTCTTATTTCCTGTTTCAAAGAAGACAACAAGTACTATATCTGTAATGCCACAGAAGCAAAAGTAAAACAAAATAAGACCGAACCACCTCTTTAATACTACAGACCTTCAAATCGGATTTTCTTAAGGTTACACGTAGAAAGAGCGTTGAAAGCACGATCGGAGATATGCGGTGAACCAATGAAAACCACCGACGTGATATTTTGGCACTTCTCCACTAAAGCCTTCGGAAGAAGAGACAGTTCTGTTAACCACGCTGCACAGACCAAGCCCAGCATGGTAACAGGTCATTTTTCCTTCTCAGTATTTACAGAAACTGACATGCCAACCATTAAATGTTCCTGATTTCGGGAAAAAAAAGTTTTTTTCAATATAACATAATATACTCAACATGTGAGTAATGCAGAGAAACGGAATTAAATCATGTTACAGGAGGATTGGAAAACATGAGAAAATGGGATGCTGAAAAAATCACTACATTTGGCAGCTTGATAGGGAAAATTAAATTTAAATTAATCAAAAGTAGAGTCAGTACTTGGGTGGGAAAGTTAAATTTAAATTCTGGGCAGAGACTATCTCGCCACTGAGATAAAAATATCCTAACCATAAAACAAGGTTTTAAAGGGTATGTAGGGATAGAAATGTTCAAATGATTTTGGAAGTATACACATAAGTATGTGTGTGTGCACGTACATATGTGTGTAAGCCTTTGTATGATTTTCTTACTATAAATTAAAATGCAGTAGCAATTCACACTTTTCAATAACTCAAGCCATTATGATACATTCTCGTGTAATAAGAGAGAGATAGAAAAAAAACCTGCTTCCCAGCTACCTACTTGCACACACTTGTCCGTGAGGGTGGGCATGTCGTTCATGGTCAGGTGGATGATGCCCGAGCAGCTGTTCGCAATGTTCCTGAAGCCTTGGACTGAAATCTAAATTGCACAAAATAGGTGAAAATCATGAGAGAATCCACTGACATGACCTCCCAAAATCCATTGACGACCTTAGTGGGTCATGATTTTGTTGTTTTAAGATTGAAACCATGGGCCAGGATATAGCTCTATTGGTACAGTGCCTGCCTGGCAAGTACAGGATCTTGAGTTCAATTCCCAATACCAGAAAATAAAAAATAAATAAGATTGAAAACATAAAATATGGCAAACAAGACAGAAAGAAAGAACAATCTTGATTTTTTTGCCTTCATCATTTTACATTTTAATGAGGCGAGAGTCATATAACATTAACCACTTAGATAAGCCATTTAACTATCCATCATGCTATGTGACCACCACCAGTATGTGGTCTCATGACATTTTCATCCAGACCCATTGAACAGCTGCTCTTCATCCACTTCTCTTTTTAGCACTTAACTAATCTGTGTTTTGACTCAGAGTTCACATAAATGAAATTATGCAATATGTGATCTTTAACATTGTTTTTAATGCTTTTCCAATTACAGTATGTATCAGCACCTGCTTTCTCTTTATGGTTTAATTCCTTTTTATAATATCCTATTATGTGGATATATAGTTTACATTTGACAATGTCCAACTGAAAGTCAATTTATTTGATACCATCTGGTAACTCACTCTGCCATCTATTTATCTGTTGATGCACAGCTGGATTGCTTCTGTCTTGTGCATATGTTGAACAGCTGCTATGAATCTGTACGCACGTGTATCTGCTGGAGTACCATTTCTAATTCCCTGGGGTATACACCTCGGAATAGAATTTCTGGATTATATGGTAATTCTAAAATTAACTTTTAAAGGAACCACAAAAATGTCTTCTGCAGTGGCTGCAGCATTTTATATTCTCATTTCTACATCTAATTTCTACAATTCCACCTGGAAACTGCCAGTTCTGCCACATTTTTGCGAATATGTCTCCATTTCTTCAAAAATTTCCTGGTAGGTTGACTTCATACTTGATTGTTTTGATTTGCATTTGTCAGTGACTAATTATATTGACCATCTTTTCATATGCTTGTTAGCATTTGTCTCTTTGGGGAATTCTATTTAGGTTTTTTGCCTATTTTAGAATTGAATTGTCTTTTTTATGGTTCAGTGGTAGGAATTCTTTACATATTCAGCATACTATTTTTGTCATTCTCTGTGCTGGTCTTTTTATCTTAAAAATAATGTCCATTATGTGCTAAAGTTTTAATTTTAATAAAAATTCATCTATTTTATCATTTATCCGTTTGGTGTCATAACTAAGAATCCAGCGCTAAATCCAAAGTCATGAAGTTTACCTCCAGTGTCCTTCTAAGAATTTTATCATTTGGGCTCTTATATTAAGGGCACTGGTCCATTTGTTATTAATTTTCATACTGGTGTGAGGTAGATGTCCAACTTCACTTTTTCAGTCTGTGGATATGCAGTTGTCCAAGCATCAGTTGTCGAAGAGAGCATTCTTTTCCCTATGACATGGTCTTGGAACTCTTTACCAAATATCAATTGGCCATAAATACATGAATTTCTGTATTCTCAGTTCTAGTCCATTGGCCTATAGGTCTATCTTTATGCCAGTACCACATTCTTCTGAATATTATAGCTTTGTAACCAATTTCTTTCTTTTCAGCTGTCATTAGCCACCTTAATAGGGCAGTTCTAAAGTTGGTTACATAAAACCTTACCATCCAGTGTGGCATTCCCGGCAGCTGGGTGGACCTGCAGGCCCCCAGCCCACCACCCTCTAAAGTGGCAGCTATGCCTGAACAAGCTCCTGAGTCCGAGAAGTGCTCACAGGCACGAGTCTGAGAAGTGCTCACCCAGAGAAAATGGGTGAGCAGAGGAAAAGTACAGTAGGAAATTCAGAGAAAGTGAAACTGCAGGATTATGTAGATATAGATTACGTTAAGGATCAGTTTGTGTGATTATGAGGGATAGAAAATATGAAATTTGCAGAGCAGGCTAGGAGGCTACAAAATCAGGAAAGGGTTAACAGTGTATTGAATCCTAAGTTTGCAGTCCTGAGCCAGAATTGCTTCTTTTTTGGGAAAAGTCTTTACTCTGAAGAAGTAACTTACTGGATCGAGGCCATGTGCATTGTTGGAGGGTGGTCTACTTTAGTCAAAGTCTATTTGTTTAAATGTTTTGCATGAAGGAGGAGGAGGGAGGATGAGGACAAGGAAGAGAAGGAGGAGGAGGAAAGAAAAGGAACAGAGAGGAGGAGGAGGAAGGGCAGGAGAAGGAAGAGGAAGAGCAGGAGGAAGAGGAGGAGGAGGAGGACAAAAGGGAGTCACCTTTATAGCAGCACTAGACTGTTTGACTAAACAACTGGATGCCAATAGAGTAGCCAAACTATAAAGTTATGTAGGTACTAACTGCTTATTTTGCATAAAACAATTAAATTAACCATAGCACAGAATTAACTGTAGCATAAAGAACACCAAAAGGTTAACAGTGACCATTTTTGAACAGGGATACTCTCTGTGTTTTGTGAACCTTCTATAGTGACAATGTATAACCAGAAAAAGAGAAACAGAAAATGACATCTTTTGGGGAAAGACAGCATAAAGACATCCTTGAGCAGTTTTTAAACCATCTCCTGCTATAGACCTCTCCTTGCAGGAAAATGCCAACAAATAAATGGGCCACAACTCTTTCATATAATGTGTGTGTCTTATTTCCTCCCAAGAGATGATCATAAACCCTTTAAAACTTTTTACTGTGTTGAAAGAGCTAATGAATTAGATTTAAGAGTAGGACAAAGTCTAAGATAGAGTGTAGAATATCACCACAGGCAAGCTGAAGATAAGCATGGCTGAGGCAAAGCCACCGGAGTGTTGGCGTGGCTCAGGTGGCACACAATCCTTAGGGGACAACGAGAAGTGTAGTGGATCAGGAGGTGGGAAAAACTAGTGAAAGCCCAGAAGCAAGAATGAGAGATGTTTGCACTGTACTGCCCAGCAGTCTTAAATACATTTTCTGTAAGTGATACGATGGATGTGTACAAACATGGAGGAGTGAGGAGGAGGGAGCAGCGCTGGTACAGACTTGGCAGCGCTGGGTTTGGCTCCGGCTCTTTCTCACTTTTAACAAAGGCGGATCGACTCTCCTCTTCCTATTTTCTCAGCTGTAAGTGAGCATTATATAATTTTTAAGAGATTCTTGAGAAAATAAAATGAGGTCATGTACATAAAAACAGCTAGCACAAAACATGGTTATGTAATATTGGATCTACTTTTCCTCTTATTACTCTGGGCACTAAAGGACTTACAGAGAGGGATAAAGGACCCTAACTCACTGCAGCTTGCTTATTCCTCACATTGCAAACATAAAGACACACTATTCAGAGAAATTTTGTGATTGAGAGCTGTTGTGGTTTGTGTCTAGATGTCCCCCCAAAGCCTCATGCAGTTTTTGATGGGGCTTTTTGGAAGTGGCTGAGTCTGGAGTGTGTGATTGATATACCGTACAATGCTGGGTTAAGGGTGCTGGGGTTAAGGGAGGGTGATGCTGGATCAGGGCATTGGTTGGTTTGGTACCACTATAATCCCAGTAGCCTGGACACAATATAAGAGACAAAAAAAAGGTTTGTCACCTCTTCCTTGTTGCTTTTGCTATCTTAGCAGTGCCAGGAACTATTTGTCCTCTGTGATGCCCCTCTGCCAAGCCAGCCTGCGTTGGTGCCAGCCATGCATAGTCTGAAACCTCCACAAACTGTGAACCTAACAAACCTTTCCTCCTTTAACTTTGTTTTTTTTTTTTTTTTTTTTTTGGTCTTTTTTCATTTTTATCGGTACCGGGGATCGAACTCACGACCGCCTGCTTCAAGGCAGGTGCTTATGCCGCTGAGCTAAACCCCCAGCCCCCACCTCCCCCTCCTTTAACTTTGGGTGTCAAGTATTTTGTCTCAGCAATGAGAAAAGTAGCAAACACAAGAATATATTCTTTGTTTATTCTGAGTTACCCAGTGCTGAACACAGGGTGTGAGACAGGAGTGGGTGAATGACTGAACAGTTCTGAACCACACAGCAGTGGTGGAGCCAGCACTGAGCATCACTTCATCCCTTCACAGCACACAGCTCCAAGGCTGGGGACCCTTCCAAGTTCTTGCCTTGACCCCGACCCTCCTCCAGTCTCCTCGCTGCTACCTTTTACATGGACTTCCACAAAATGAACAACTTTTTCCCTCTTGCTGTCTTGGAAACATATTTAGTAAGGGGAAAAAAATGACAGCCACAAGCAACCACAGCTGGGTGATTCCCTGCAACAGAGCCAAAAACTTGGCGCTATTGACCAATGGGATTCATTTGTAGGCAATGGAGTGGGAAGGAACCTCTGAGAAGAGACTGAGTTTTGTCCTGGCACGGAGTGCTGAGTTTCCCACAGAGTTTATATTAGAATAGCCAAAAAGATGTTTGGCTAATATTTTATGACTCAAATATTCCTGCCAGAATCTTTCAGGCCGACCATTAGTTGTGCTTTCTCTTCACTGAAATAATGGGGGATATAAATCAAATTTTAAAAATTGCCAGAGAAGAAAAAGCAAAATGTTTTGCCCTGTTAAAATGCCAGGGCTTATCACAGCTGATATCTGTGCGTTTCCTGTGTAAGATTCCATCTTATAACAGCTGGGGTCTGAATCTCTCTTCATTCAGTGGTGAGGAGACTCTGGCTTCTGTTTTGATGGCAGCTGGAGTCCTGTCCCCCTGTCCTTTGCCGGGGAAGCCCCCACTGGTTGGGAAGTTAGCGGGGACCGGTCTCACCAGTCTTGTCTACACGTCAAGTCCCTGCAGGCAGCTGCTACTGCTGCTGATGGGGCCAGAGAAGCTTTGGGCACAGCAGAGAAGCTCTCTCCAGCTGCCTCTGGGTGGGTCTGCAACCATCAGCGTGACAGCACAGCACTGTGTGTGCAAGAAATAGTCTGTGAGCCATAACGAATGAAGACCAAAGTGCTTGGTGCCAGAGACCTGCTTAGTCCC